TATATATATATGTATATATATATATGAAAAGCATGAACACATAACCCCGGTCCTGGCTTCTCTCCATTGGCTTCCTGTTCACCTGCGAATTGATTTTAAGTTTTTATTGTTGGCTTTTAAAGTTTTTAATGGTCTTGCCCCGTCATATTTATGTGATCTTCTTAACATTTACACTTCAGTCAGAGCACTCAGGTCTACCAACCAGTTTCTGTTAGATGTTCCTAGATCCAAACTGAAATCTAGAAGTGACCGGGCTTTTGCAAAAGCTGCTCCAAAGCTGTGGAACAGTCTGCCTTTTCTGGTCAGCAGAGACTGTTGAGGCTTTTTAATCTTTGCTGAAGACCCATCTCTTTTCTTTGGCGTCTGACTAAGACCGAGTTGGAGGTTCAGTTAGAGCTTTTTTATATATTATATTGTGTTTCTGTTCAGCTTTGGAGATGTTGAAACTTTCCAAAACAATTTGCGAACTCTTTAAATGCCCACAATCTTTCCACATCTTATGCAGCCTATACATCATTAATGTAGCCATTGTATCATTTTTCACACAGTGTGTTGCTCACTGTTATGATTTTACAGTTGTCTTCAGAATCCAGAGTYCGTACTCCCACATTCTCATTGACTCCCATTAAACTTGAGCTCAGATGTTTTGTTGTCTTTTTAACTTACCACTGTAGACACTAACGGTGTTTCTGACATAAGAGTAGACTCAAGAAGCAAGTCAGTTTTATTTTATGACATTTATTATAAAAGAGAAATAAAGACAATAAGAAATCGTGAAACAGGAGTAATGCAACTGCAGATCACACATTCCTCAGAWAACAGGAATCTGAGGAAGTTTTGGCCCCATGACATCCAGAACAAGGATCTCATATTTACCATAGTCTGCTGACTCGGACCAGTCTGTGGAACCTGCGTGGTCAGAGCATTCCAGAGCCACTGGAACAGACCTGCTTCATGTTTCCACAACAGGAGTTATAACAGGAGGAGGAAAATATTGGGCCTCATGCAAGAACATGTTCGTATTCTTATCCTAAATTTCTCTTACTTTTGTTCGTACAAAGAGTTCGTACGAACATGTCACGTCAGATTCAACAAACTCTTCTATCTTCAGGAAAAGTGTGTAAATGAGCTGCGTAAATTCCACCTGTTCGTATCCAGCTGCTCGTGCACGCGAGAGGAGATTAGCATAATTACCACCCCAAAAACACCATATAAGGRTATGTTTCCTGCCTCAGATACAAGGAAGTGTTCATTCATGAAAAATGACAGTGAAAATTAAAAAGAACTTTACGAGTTCAGAGACTGAAGTCCGTCTGTCAGAGATCCAGAAAAGAAGCGGCAGCGCTGCGCACCGTTGCATGAGGCCCAATGATTGTGTAGTCTAAACAGTTCTAATTTACAAGAAATCACAACACCTTTGGGTTCATGAGTATCAAATGTTGTCAGGGTTCTGACCACATGAAACACAGACTCGTGTGGAAAGATGGCATAAATAAAATGGATTATTCACAATAAAATAAAAACTACATGTTTGAAAAGCACATGTTTTGGCTGTTTTACTACTCAACTTATTTTTTCACAGGTTTTATTTCAGTTGTTTATTTAAAAGTGCATTTTAATAAAAGTTAATACACATGACAATTCATAGGTAAAAAAAATAATTAATTAAAAGCAGAATAAGTCAAAATGATATTTTTCATGTGTAGTCCCCTGGCCATGATGCTTAAAAACCAGTAAAATAGAACAACATAAATACAACAATAACACCCAATTAATGAGGACAAGAAATTGGATTAAAGAAATCCTGACAGATTAGGAGAAAAACAATGCTTCTAAAAAAAACAATACAATGCAGATATACAGGTTTACTTTCCTGTCTTCATTTCTGCCTGCCTGCCTTATTAAGAGTGCCGTCAGGATGTGTGCAGTTACCATGGTGACTCTAATGAGCCAGCTGTAACATTTATTTTGTTCTCGGTTCTCTTCGTGGAACAAGGTTTCTGCAGATTAGAACAACATCAGGTCCTGGATTAATGGGCTTCAGAGAAAAGAGTTGCTAAATGATCATTATTGTCTTCATCTGTCAGTTGGGATTAAGTTCTACGTTCTTTTACCTCAGGTCAACATCGACTACAACACCAAGACGGCCGTCAAGAAGAACATGGAACACCCGACAAGAAGCTGTTTTGAGGCGGCCCAGATGAAAGTCTTCAGTCTGATGAAGAAAGACTCGTATCCCAGGTTCCTGCACTCTGACATTTATATGCGCATCACTCGGAGGAAGGGCCCCGGGGCCAACATGTTCCGCCGGAGGTCACGTTCCTGCGTGTTTAACGAGAGGGGCGAGGCCACAACAGAACCATCGGCGTGGTGATTGGGACCTGACCTGCACACGTGGAGTGGATTGACCGTTGTTTGCAGCACGAGTGCTGAGATATGCTATYTGGTGGTTTTATTTTTTCTTCTTCTTTTCTGCAAGTTCTTATTTGCAGAGTGCAATATTTTTGTGTAACAGGAGAGTTTTTATAATGGATTATTGCACAAAAGCACCACAGCAACTTGTCATCATTGGTTGTAGGAAGATWCGTTTTGGGAAATGTGCTTTATTTCCCAGATTTACTAATGATTTCTTGATTTCTTTTGTTAGCATGTTTAGTTAATCTCAGCGTAGCGTAAAGGCTATGAAGCGGTGACAAGCGCTGACGTGGATTAAACGATWGTTTATAAGAACATTAGTTAACTAAAATCCTAAAAACGAGTCATGGCAGTGGCATTATTTTGGCCTAGTGCTTCCTTAGCCTAATGCAGTAAACATTTTTTGTTTACCTATCAACTTAACGGTACTGACAAGATTATTTAATTGCATTATCGCAGTCTTTATGCTGCGGTATCAGTATTGATCACGAACACAAAGTTGTTTTCTTACACAGTTTGTTCACTTTTCCACATTCTGCACAGCTCCAACATAACTGAGACCAAGAGTCTTTCAAAGGATGTTTTGCCATGTTGAAATGGGTTTTTGTAAAAAATAATAATAATAATATTAATAAAAAAAGTTTGGAACAATTAAATGTAACCTTTGACTGTTGTACACAGCTTTATGAAGACTTTCATTTTGACTATGCGAGTCTTAAAATAGACCAAAGCGTCTTCCTGTCATCTTAGAACAGTTTCAGTTTCCAAACTTTTATGGCTGGTTGATAAACCCTAACATCACCATCATTTTTACATTAAATAGTTATTAATTAGCAGAGGTTTATAGTAACTAAGTACATTTACTT